TCAAATATCAAGGAAAGGATAAGCATGAGTTTGCATGAAGAATTACAAATAATTCAAGAATAAATAATGCGTAAAATAAATGCAAAAGTATACATGAAAATCTATTATAATCTAATTTAAAAAAGAGACTAACAGAGTAAAGAAAGTGGTTTTATGAGAAACACATGAGGATTATGGGTTACAGCAGTACCTTAAATGCTTGATGTGCATGACGTGCAAATGTGTTGTATTTACACTGGCAGGTCTACAGAGGACAGACAGGGGAACGCTACAATTGTTCTGCTTTTAAATTCTGTTTGTGTGTCTCTCTCAGCCGTGACTATGTGGATAAAATGGAAGAGGCCCGACTTGCACGGGAGGAGAGGTAAGTGTGTGCTCTAAATCAAAACAACACACATTTGGAACAGCTGAACTCGTGGTTTGGGAAGCTCAGTAATAGTGTAATTGTTTTCAGGCTAATGTGGGTATGCCCGATCCATTGGTACCACCCCCGAGCTTCTACGACCTTTGGAAGGGTTAGGGTTAGGGTTAGGGATGAAAACCCATTGGAGATCAAGATATTCTTCAATAACTTTCTTTCTGAACGTCATAGAGATTTGGAAGTTTGTTCCATCTCCACTAAAAAGGTGCCCTTCGCTGCCAGAGGCTGCGGGGGTGGGGGTGGAGGGGGTGTACGTTGAGCAGATTTTCTCTTCTCTGTCCGCCTGTTTTCGTCTCTTTCTTAAGGAGTTGCATTTTAACTGCTGCCTTCTGCTAGCTGCCGGATTGCTTTGGCTGCCTGTTGTGAGAAAATCAGATTCCAGGATTCATCAGGCTTTTCACACTGAATGACCCTGCACACACACACACACACACACGTTCACGCCCACTCAGAAACAGTTTTTTCTCAAGCATTTATCGATTTAAACAGACACAAGAAGAGTTTTCATATAATAAATCTATGTTTGTCTAGAGATGGAAATCACAGGAAGAAAGAGATTTACCAAAGAGGGTATGTGAGGTCACAATCAGATAGAGCTGAGCCTGGACTGATAACAAATGTATAAAAGCCAAAACCAACACGATGACCATCTCAATATTTAAAAGTATGAGTAGGTAAAGCTCCTGTTTCCTCCTCTTCTTATTCTTCTCCCTTTCCTATATTTGCTTCTTCTTCTTCTACCGACACTTGAAACTTTATATACTGTGCCAAGTGCTTCTTCTGTTGGCTCAGACAACTTTCAATGTAAGTCCAGCAGATATAACAAAGCGAAAAGAAATAAAGTGAGACAGAGAGAAAGACAAACAAAGAGCACTTGGAGGAAACAAGATACAGCACACCTGCACAAAACAGACCTGCATGGAATATGATGTCCTCACGTCAGACAACTGTATCAACTGTTAACTGTGTACTCACCATAGACTGTATGAAAAGTCGTCCATGTCTGATAAAATGATGTGGAAGTTCTTAAAAGTGCAATACTGGCTCCAAAAAATCTCTGCCTCCATAGACTGCCACTCAAAAAACACCAACAATTCTCTCATGAAATATTAAGTCAATAATTGAAAGTAATATATAAATTAATAAGATATTAAGCTCAAATAGCAGTAGGTTAGGGGGCGTGGCACCTTTCATCTGGGATGATTGATCCTATTTCTGGACCATAGACTGGTGCTAACTTAGGTTGGACTGAAACGATCCCCTAAGTGTAATGCAAATAGTTTTTATTAATTAAAACCTGTGAAATAAGGTTAACGTGGCAAAGAACACAATTGAATTCCTGTGTTTGGTTCAATCAGATCAAACTAAGATGTTGAACATGGGGTGGAACATATTGGTTGCATTACCAACCCCAGCTTTAAGTAATAGTACATATTATGTGCAAAATGCCAATGATTTTTACAACCATTATATTTCATTATATATCATATAATTATGATTATTATTATTATTATGAAGTGAAATGTATATATATATTTATATATATTCAACTAAGGCACTAAAGCACTTCAGTAAATCTTGTTACACTCCACCTCTGCTTTCATCTGAAGTTTTATACAGTGGTAATATCAGGTTAATGTGATGACATTGATACTTAGTAATTGTAACTATTCAGACACATGAGGTACATAAATATCTATAAACAGCACAAGACTGTCCTCTGAAGTTTGTTCAAACACTCAACACATCTTATTTATTCAGCGTGTAAGGACATACAGCACATCGAAGGTTGTGCTCCAAGTTCAAGTGCACAATACACAGTTGGCTCACTCACTCCATTTCAACAACACACACACATATTAGTATCCAGTTTCTTCAGCCCTCTGAAGTGGCCTTATGCTAATGAACTCTGAACAGAAGCTCCACACATTCATGGTACGGTGGGAAAGAAGGAGGGCTTAGAGACAGAGAGAGAGAGAGAGAGAGAGAAGGAGAGAGGGGTTTGACTCAGTGCCCGAAAGCTCTGTTCTGGCCGGCAGGTTGAATGGTAAAGTTTTGTAGAGGGAGAACAGGAGGATGAAGAGAAAAAGGACGAGAAATGAAAAAGGACCAGGAATGATGGAGGCGCATCTCGAACAGGTTTATTCCGATTCACTTCTGATGTTTGGCCTTTCTGCAGCCAAACCCACATGAACTTCTCCCATCTCTCTCATCCATCTTTTGTCTTGTCTTTCTTCTTTTCCCCCTCACACTCTTCTTTCCTCACACTACATTTTTGCATGTTTGGATTGATGGGTGTTTGGCTACAGAGGAGAGGAAAGGAGAGGAGGAAGGTGAACCTCAAAACGAGTGATGAATGTATTGAATTCTTTGTGGACGATTAATGGAGTAAAGTAGATGAGTGACATGGGCTTACATTGTAGTGTGTAAAGATGTTGGGCAGCTGTAGAAGAGAAAACATTGAGGAACGGTCTGAGTGTTTTTAATGTAAATACAGCAGGTTCAAAGTTTGTGATGCATTCAGGTAAACTGACAGATTGGTAGCTAGTGGTTTAATCTTTCTAGTTGTGACAGGCACGATTTATGGTGCATCATCTCAGACTTGTATTTTCACCTGTTTTATTCTCCTTCTCCCTCCATCTTAGGTATAAGAATGTGGAGCGTATAGCAGCAGAGGAGTTCGAAAAAGAGCGTGTGCGGGTGTCGAGGACTCGCCCTGACCTTAACCTGCCTTTTACGCCCTCTGAGGCCTGGCCCTCGTCATCGCGCAGCAGCACCCCATCCTCATTTGCCTCACAAGAGGACGCAGAGGTTGACCTTGAAGGCGAGACCCCCTCCACCCCCTATACGCACTCTGAGACAGGTAGGACAACCGAGAACACTCAGATGAACCATTAACACAGTACAGGTATGGCTGTTATTAACTAGTTAAAATGTGCTTCTCCTGCTAGTCCTGCTTGCGCCACTATAAAAAAAAGAATCTCAAGGTATTAGCTGATCCCATACACAGTGAATTACTTTATGGTTAATGGACTGTATAGTGCTTTCCAATGTTATCGACCAAGCACATTAATGCACACATTCAGACAGCACTTCTATACTTTCTTTCATCCATCATTCCTACACTGTCGACACAGACCTCAGGGGCACTTTGGGTTCAGTGTCTTGCCCAATGACACTTCCGAATGCAGACTGGAGGTGCCAGGGTTCGAACCATGACCTTCTGGTTAGTGGACGACCCTCTCTACCTCCTGAGCTGGTATTATAACAAGTGATGGGGGAAGAAATATTGAATTCAACTCAGTTCCAAAGTTGTTATCTTGAACATTTTAGTCCTGGTTTATTTGGCGGCACCAGGAGAAACAACAGAGCAGCAACTGGTGTGTTTGTTTATAGTTCTGCCAAACAAAGTCAAGTTTTAATAAACAATTGGACAGTAATTGGAACCGCACTCTGATTTCATGCTTCACACACTGTGAGTGGATTTGAGTTGTCAGTAATAGACAACAGCAGGGGCACAGACTGGAGTCATGCTGCACGCTGCCTGCAACTCCTCATCCAATAGCTCATATTTAACACTGATCTGCCGTCACATGCGACCACGTCTGATGTTGTTTCAATGTAAGATCACTGTCAGTGCTAAAGCTGGATTCCATGCATGTTCTCCTGTGAGCCCCTATTGCGTGTGAAGTCAGTCCAACGTGGGAATGGTTGACTCTGCCACAAAATAACTATACATAGAGAAGTAATGACTGAATGTGTACACAATGCATTTGATGGATGTTGCTAAAAATATGTTGCCTCAAAATAGCTTTTATAAATTTGGGTTTGGCTCCAGGAAAATCTTGAGGATTATAACTTAAATATTGTATTGTGCAGTAAAGAGACCTTATATGACTTTGGATTCTACTGGTTGAAACTTATAATTAAAACCAAAAGGCCACAAGATCAATTCCCAACAGTGCGCCCCCAAAGCAATCACTCTTAACCTTAAATTGTTTCAGCTCGCAGCCTGCCATTTAAATTAGCATGCAGGGGTGAGTAAAAGAGCGAGCGGAGAGACGGATTGTGGAAAATATTGCAGCAGAGCAGAAAGAGAAAGAAACACAGAAAGAGGATGAAGGGTGAAAGGGTCAGGTGGGTTTTTGAAAGGGCTTTTTGAAAAGTGCGATGCCAAAACATCTCGTGTAAGAAAACAGCCTAGTGTCGGCGTCTATGCAAAGCCGTGAGCTGAGGTACTGTAGGTGAGTGTATGAGGCCTTGGAGCGGCATGTTATTCTAACCCCGCCTTCATCACTGCACCGACTGTGCTGTTGAGTTACGTGTGTGCACCATGTACGTGAGTGTGTTTTGACGTAAACAGGAACTTAATTCTTCATTTCCTGTTCATATCCTGGTCCTGTGACAACCCGGCTTTGTGTAGCCGCCACATTTTTTGCATTAGTGTTCGGGTGTGTGTTTTTGTTTTTCATGTTAGTGTGTGTGTTTTGATACAGGGGTTTCCCATGTGCAAACACTGGGACCTTTAAAATCAAAGGCCGCCATGTCACATGTTTCAAGCAGTATTTCATTGCTGTCATACAGAAAGCTTCTGTGTGAATGGAGGGATCATGTTAAATCAGTCCAAGAGATAAAGATAGTAAATCACAGTCCCTAAGAGTAACTATAAGTAACACACACTTTTTATCACAGGAGAGGCAGATGATTCCAGTGCCAGTGTAGAAACGGGGGGACAAGAAACAGAGGCCGTCGCTGAGGAGGAGGAAGAGCAGAAAGAAGAGGAGGAGGAAGAAGAAGAAGTGCGGGAGGAAACTCCGGCAGAGAAGGAGGAGATAGTCGACGAGTACGAACAGGAACCGGAGAAGGAGAGAGAGGAGGTGGAAGAGGACAGCGGCATCCTGAGCGACAAGGAACGGCAGAATGAAGAAGTAAATGAGAAGGACAACTGCTCGGCCTCAAGCATCTCCTCTGCCAGCAGCACCCTGGAGAGAGAGGAGAGGGGGAGCGCTGAGGATGGTGGGTAGTCTTTTTTACTGAAAAGCATTTGATTTGACCTTTAAGTTACATTTATAATTTATTCACAACTACTTAATACAGATTAACATCCATCCTGAGTGATCACAACATAAGTGGTCAGCAGTAAGTAAAGTTCTAAATGTGGCCAAATGTGTCCTGATAAGCAATGTAGCCCCAATATTAACACTGACCTCCTCATGATTGATACTTTTCTTCTACAATGTTAAAGTTCTGCATCTTTTAATATCTCTCTTTTACTCCCTTCCTCAGGCTTTAAGGAGGGAGAGGTGAACGGGCAGTGCAGCAAACTCCTCAACAGCAAACTCTTCATGCTGGACATGCTGTACTCCCAGAACAAGAAGCCCAGTGATGAGGAGGAGGAAGAGGAGGATGCAGAGAAGGAGAAAGAGAGAGGAGAGGGGGAGGACAAAGAAACCCAGGAGGAGGCTGAGGAGCAGCTGGGCAATGATGAGGGGAGCAACAACAGGGCTGACAAGTCAGAGCACCACGGCAGCATCCGACAGTTCGCTGAGCGATTCGGAGACTTGATTAAGGACCTGGGAGCAGCCCACCCTGACCCTGACGGTACCGCCAACGAGCCCCCTCCTCCCCCACCCAAGAAGGAATCTGACACGATCTGGGACCAGCTCCTGGCCAGCCCTCGAGAGCTGCGCATCGGGGACATCAACTTCACGGACCTAACGGAGGAAGATGACAAGGACATCCTGGATGCCGTTTTGATGGGTGGATGTGGCGACCTCCCTCCCCCACCTCCTCCTCCGCCCTGCTTCCCTCCACCTCCACCCATGCTGGGTAGCTGCCCACCACCTCCTCCCTTGTTTGGGATTATGAGGCCTCCACCTCCTCCTTTCTTTAGTTCTTCAATCCCAGTGCCTCCACCCCCAGAGCCGCCTCTGTTCAACAAGAAGAAGAAGACAATCAGGCTCTTTTGGAGCGAGGTGAGTCAAGACACAAACAGCTTCTTCGATTACCATGTGAACTAAGGCTTTTCAGAAAAGTGAGAAAATGACAACTCCAACAATTAAACTATGGTGAGCAATGCATGCAGACGTTCAGGTTTTCTCTACATCTGGAGGTATCAAGTAATTTAGGTTTGTCAGTATTTAACACATTTTCTTGGTTGGACAGATGATCCTGCACGTCAACATGAAGAGTTCATTAAGACACAATGTTTCCATTAGCCCGTTAAGGGGCCATCAAAGACTATGACTCACTCACCGTGTTCCTTTTGCTGCTGTTATTATGTGATTCCTTGTTTCTCGTTTATCTATTTTATTGTCGGAAATAAAAACCTCATACACGTCTCTGCTTCATGTTTGTGAACAGGTGCGTCCGGCAGACTCCCAGTACAAAGATTACAAGAGAAGCGGCGACTCGTTTTGGTCAAAACTGGAAGCAGTGAAGTTGGACACGGCAAAACTGGAACACCTGTTTGAGACAAAGTCGAAGGAAATGCCAGTTACAAAGGTAAGGCCCACAATCGTTGTCCACTACACTGAACCATAATAGAGGAGCTGTTAGTCATTAATTATCAAATTATTTAAAATTCAAATGTTGCAGCGATTTCAAAATGTGACACGTTGCCCATAGATGGTGCTGTCATACCAGAATCGATTTTTTAACTACTGTACACCATCATCATGCGTTATGGTTGCCTAGCACCATCATTATTATTTCTGTGTGGGAAACACTCGCTGCCGTTTCATCACACCCTTCATTTTGCTAGTCACAGTCTGTAGGTTAAGCGTCCATTATATCCAGTACTCGAAAGCTGTTGTTTTAAGTGAGGTCATGTGTCCTGATCCCCACTGAAACAGAGGAGCGTTGAATCCCTCGTAATTCTCACAAAGCCTTTAAATAAGAAAAGTATGGTGTCCTGAATGAGGGGAGCTGAAGCCAGACATCTCACACTTTGACTTCCTGAGCTACTGCTTCAATCCACAACTTCTGATACAAGTTAGTAGCTCACTACAGCACGTAGCATGACGGTGGTCTCCAGCTACAGCTCAAGCAAATATGTCAGTTAATGAGAGGATCCAAGTCTTAGCGTATTTCTATAAACAAATTTAAACATAGATATTTAAGTCAATAGAAACTGCACTTTCTTTACCATGCCAGGTAAAAGTTTAGTTAGTCTTGCATCCATACCTATGGTGTTTATCCTTTGAGGGTCCCAGGATGGGCTGGAGCCAATTCCAGCTGATATTGGACGGGAGGTGGGGTACGCCCTCATCCTCACTTGGAGCCAGAGTGTGCGTAGTAGTGATCGTGGTGTGGAGCCACAGTATCGAGGTCCGACTAATACTCACACTCAACCAATTAAGAATCAGTCTCAGTTGTCAATCATGATGTTCCACCCTATTTTTAAAGCATCAAAAAAACTGATTAAAACCAAACTTACCTGTCAAAACACATCTGTGTGACCCACCTGAAAGGAAAGAAAAAATCTTGAGACAAAAAAAATGAATGAGACAAGTTTTTGACCTATACTGGAAACTATCCTACAAATGATTTGGGGGCGCTGTCATGACCTTCATCATATTCTATGAGACAAACAACCCTCACAGTCAATTTACACTCTCAATTTAACCTAAGCTGCATGTATGAGTACCCACAGAAAAACTTACAGAAAGATCCCAGTTGAAGCCATGTATCATAATAGCATAAAGGGTAACATGAGATGACTAACAACAGAGTTGCAGTCTAATATAAATCTACCTGTCTCCATATTATGACAATAAAATGTTCCACTTTTATGTGGTGACATCTTACGACTTTCTTCCAATAATAGCTAATGATAGCCTCGAGTACTTGTGAGGACATGGCTGTGCAGTGACAGCATGTCTGCAGAATTAAACACACATACAGTACAGACCTAACCTGTAATGGTATTTCCTGCTCTTAATAACCGTGTAGTTCCTGCTGCACTGAGTGTAACCGGAGTAACGATCCCTCTAATCCTTATGGGCCCATAAAGAGGACCACACAGAGGAAAGAGACACCCAGCTTTGACCCGTTCTGTGTTTTTGTGTCCTAGAAAACGGCAGCAGATGGCAAGCGTCAGGAGATCATAGTTCTCGATTCCAAGAGGAGTAACGCCATCAACATTGGCCTGACGGTGCTGCCGCCTCCTCGCACTATCAAGACGGCCATCCTTAACTTTGACGAGTATGCGCTCAACAAGGAGGGCATAGAGGTGAGCGATTTAGGTGATGGTAAAAAAGGAAACATGTGATGATTGAAACATCTTTCATTTCATGAAAATCATATGACAACCGTTTTCTGTCTTTATCCTCAGAAAATCCTGACGATGATCCCCACAGAGGAGGAGAAGCAGAAGATCCAGGAGGCTCAGCTGGCCAACCCTGACGTCCCTCTGGGCTCAGCAGAACAGTTCCTGCTCACTCTATCTTCCATCAGCGAGCTCTCTGCCAGACTCCAACTCTGGGCCTTTAAGATGGACTACGAGGCAACAGAGAAGGTCTGTTTAAACATGGAATAGTGCTTTTATCAGTTAAAAATAATTCAGATTATATAAAACTATAAGAATCTGAAAAAAAAGTGACATTTCCTCATCAAATTCAGGAGCCCAAAACAAAGCCATTGTTGAATGCATATTAAAACCTTACTTTCATACGTAATAAATGAATGTGGTTTTAATAAAGCAGAAACATACTGTAGCGAATTGAACTTTGCAGCATAAAGGGTTCAGTAAATGTGCAGTGCATGTGTGCATATGTATGTCCTTTTCCCGTGTCGGAAAGTATCAACAACCCTCTTAGTGCAAACAACATCCGCAAAGCATCAACATAGTTACATCATAACATCATAACAAAATATGCGAGCTTATTAGCAGCATCTCGTCCTCTTCTTCCACTGGCACACCATGTTTTACTCAAGTGAAGAATGCATCCAGGAGAGGAAGTTCAAAGCCAAATCCCTGAGAATGAGAAACATGCCGTCCTTCCCTTGATCTCCTGTAAATTTTACGACTTTCCGCAGGATGCAATTGTCTTTAATCTCTCCATGAAAGGCATGATTCCCGACCGCGTGTTCCGTAGAGCAGCGTTCCCGACTCATGTCTGTGGAACGGGGGCCGCTTAATGGAGGGCAGCGTACCACGCAGGGACACAATCACAGACCACGAATACATGCACACTGGTAAACAAAGGGTACGAGTACATTTGATAGTGAAGGTTGACAGACGAAGAGACCTTTAAACAACCTCTCATGACCTAAAACAAGAGCAGATGGTTCACAGCGGGAGAGGAGGCGCACCTGTTCACATCTTCGACTACTTGACTAATGGATCGAACGTTTTAGGGCTTGACTCAACTAATTATGTGTGTGTGTGTGTGTGTGTGTGTGTGTGTGTGTCTCTTCCCCCTCTCAGGAAGTAGCGGAGCCGCTGCAGGATCTGAAGGAGGGGATGGAGCAGCTGGAGAAGAACAAAACTCTGCGCTACATCCTCTCCACACTGCTCTCAATTGGAAACTTCCTCAATGGCGTCAACGTGAGTCATGACCATCATCGTACTGGCTCCTAATGACAAGCTTCCTTTGTACTGCACTGATTAGTAGTTATCAGTCATTTTAATGGAGTGTGAATGAGCCAAGTCTTTTTGATTCAAATTTACATCACATATTAGAATCTGTAATTTGGCATACCCCCTTTTTACTGCTTCCTATCTCATGTAGAATTATAAAGAAAATTGCACAGAAATAAGTATTTCTTTTTTTTGTAAGTAATCAATATCTTTATGTGTCCAGGCGAAAGGCTTTGAGTTGACGTACTTGGAGAAGGTTCCAGAGGTGAAGGACACGGTCCACAAACAGTCTCTGCTGCATCATGCCTGCTCTGTGGTGGTGGAGAACTTCCCCCAGAGCACCGACCTCTACTCCGAGATCGGAGCCATCACACGTTCTGCAAAAGTATGAAATTCCTGTGTGATATTTTTGTGTAGCTAACTTCCTACATTTTGCTTTGGATGATTTGCAATTTGATTAATTATCGTGCCAAAAAGTCCCTTATTTGCTTTATCATCTCCTCCATCAGGTGGATTTCGACCAGCTGCAGGAAAACCTGTGTCAGATGGAGCGCCGCTGCAAAGCCTCATGGGACCACCTGAAGGTAATCGCCAAGCACGAGATGAAGCCACAGCTGAAGCAGAAGATGTCCGACTTCCTCAAAGACTGTGCCGAGCGGATCATCATTCTCAAGATTGTCCACCGCAGGATCATCAACAGGTAGCTCCCCTCACAGCAACGTACAACGCACATTCAAATACTATGGCTGGAGATTCAGGTTACAATGTCCTTTCCTCCTCCTCTTTCTCCCAGGTTCCACTCGTTCCTGTTGTATCTAGGTCATCCGGCCTACAGCGTGAGGGAGGTCAGCGTCCACAGGTTCAGTAAGATCCTCAGCGAGTTTGCACTAGAGTACCGAACCACCAGAGACCGCGTGCTGCAGCAAAAGCAGAAAAGGGCCGACCATCGCGAACGCAACAAGACCCGAGGAAAGATGATCATGGACGTCAACGCTCCTGTGAGCATCACACACACAGAATCCCTCGCACAGAGACACACTCTGATTTTCTACTCAGTTTTCTAGGTTTTCCTTTCCTAAATCTTTGTGCTGCTTTCTTTGACTTTCACTCTTTCTTTCTCCTGTAGTCTGATGATGAAGACGAGAGTGAGGTATCAACATGTGTACTGCCTGCATATCTGCATGTGTGTGTGTGTGTGGGTGTGTGCATGCATCCACTAGCTGTAACTACAGACGTTAAAGTTTCCTCTTCACTTAACATCTGAGTTAATCAGTCAATACGAAACAGTTGAGACTATATTCCTAACAGGGTGGATGTTTTCCATGATGTCTCAGGTTTGGCATGGGGGAGTCAAAGCTGCCAAATTCTGACTCCCTTTCATTCTGTTTCTCCCTGTCAGTGTGGTCGTTATGGCTCCAGCAGCAGCAACAGCGCCCCTAGTGGCAGCCAAGAGAGCGAGCAGCCTCAGGGACTTGGCCATTCAGAGGACGCTGCAGAACATGAGCACATGAAAGCGGTGCTGAGTACCAGCCTGAGCAGCGGTGACAAGGAGAGCAGCGGGGTACCTGGGCTCCGCACACGGACAAGGTCACGGCCTGGACGAGGAGGAGGTGAGGGTGACAGGAAGTTCCTTAAAGCGCCACAAAGATAAGCACACAAGAAAACAAGAGGCACAGATCTTTAAATGGATTTTCGGCTCATGTCTCTCTTGCATGTTTGGCTCAGGTCGCAATATTCAGACGAGGACTCCGGTCGTGGAGGACACTCAGGTCTGCGGAGACGACGCCGCAGACGAGATCATGGAGCGCATCGTGAGGTCAGCCACTCAGGGTCCAGGAACCAGAGCTCAGCCCAGAGAGAGGAGGAGATCCAGGGCAAACCGCAAGTCATGTACGACCTGAGTGATGAACCTATTCCAAAATAATAATAAAACCGCATGAATAGTATGTTGTGAGAGTGTGTTGTTGGTCAACACCAGAAGAAGAAGCGGCTCACATTAATCTTTGGTAATACCTGTCAGCTGTAGAAATTATTGTATGATGTCATCAGGGTTATCTTTAAAGTTTTAAAAGAAAGCCTGCATTCAGATGCCATGCTCATGAAATTTAAAAGAAGCAGGCACTTGGTCTAATGAAAACACTATTGTTCGCATTTTGGGAAATGAAGGATCCAGGATTTTTGTAGATTGTCTGGTATACAGTGGGAACCAAACAACAAAAAAGCCACTGGATGGAATCAGTCATTTCCATACATATAGTGCTGCAAAAGAAAAGATGCATTTCATACTTTATTAAGACCTAAAAAACTTAAAAACACCTAACACGACTTAACGTACCACCAATGTCATTTTCAACTAAAGCACACTGGGCTACAACACCAGGAAGTAAAAGTGAGGATATGTTGACCTCTACTGGATACATTCTGACAATTTCAAGATTATAAAGTCCTCAAATATTATTTCCTGTTGGCAGCACTTATAGTGCACACTTTATAAAGGTAGTATGTAGTATTGTATTGGAATAAAGCAACAGATTAACAACAGCCCATGAGCATGTGATAACTAATCGTCTCTTTTCTTCCCACAGTGAGGCGGACTCTGAAGAACGGTCTGACCCCAGAAGAAGCTCTCGCTTTAGGACTAACCGATTCTCCAGACTCACAAATGTGATCCTCCGCCCTGCACCGTCCTCAGCGCTGTGGAAACATCGAAGCACACGTTGAGGCCACGCCTCTGTCAGCTGCCTGCCTTCGACACACATTACAAAAAGTCGTATTCCACCGGTCACATGCCCCCTCTAGGTGTTTGCCAGCTGCTAATCTTGCCTGATGCGTCTGAGTGAAAAAGTAGTGTTTTTAATGCGACGCACGGAGTGGAAGTGAAGATATGATGAAAATGATGAATGAAGACAAGAAGAGGGAAATAAAAATGTAAATTCAGTGACGCTGCCTCGACACTGAGCTGAAACACTTTATTTATATAAACTTATTTTAAACGTTGCATTAGTCCGAAGGGATAATTTGTGCTTGTAAGTTTCTGCGGCTGTGAGGTGTTTCATTTATTTAAGCTGTGAATTTTGGTTGTAAAGACGAACATGATGCAGAGGAAGCTTCCTTCACTCTCTGATCCACTTTCAAACAATCGGCCCAGACAAAGAGGCTTACTAAGAATCAACCTTTGTGAGAAAGCAAGATGTTTTGTTTCTGCAGCTGCACCTTTGACAAGCGGAGCTGTGTTCAGCGGGAATGTGAAAGGTTTTCAATCTGACAAGTGCCTTTCGTGTAAAAGGGACATCGCTGTATCTTTTCTCCTTCTCTTCCTCTCGTTTTATTCATCTCTTGCTTCACTGTCACAGGCGCACTGTTGATGACAATAACCTTTTTTTTATGTTGACAAAGTTTCTCTTGACAAAATATTTATTTGCAAAGCTCAGACATCGTGCACCTTACTCAGCATTAACGGTCTTTCATGCTGAAATGAACAACTGATTCAAAACACAGGGAAAAATAAGTTTTTATCTCAGAGTAACTGTTTGTAAAGTGTAAAAAGACAAAAAGATGAGGACATTTTGTAACATTTTAATAATCTATTTGAAGGACTATGCAGAGAATTCTGCATAAAACATGTGTAAATGCCCTTGTCAAGCTGCCAGATACTGTGTGCATGTGTAGTGCGGTTCATGTCCTGTATTATTTTTGTAATTTCCTGTAGAAACTTGTATTATAGTCAGAGAGAAAGGTTAGAGGAAGAGGCTATTCTGTGAATTGTAATTAAAAGATAAAAAGACATTAAAGTTGTGGTCACAAATATGTGGCTCCCAGAATAACAGGGAGAGGGGTGCAGGGGGGAGATTTGGACATACAGCTTTTGAACTTTGTGGTCACATCGAGTCCCAGCTGAAGTGGGCGCTCCTCGCTCGCAGCACAGAGAAAACTGGGAAACATCACTGCATACAAATGTAGTGAGCCGAACATAGGACAATTTCACTTGAAATGCTGTGTATACACATTCTGCAATAAAAAAACACTAAACTTTTAAATGAAAAAATTGACCTTTCTGTCTTTCTTCTTTACTGCTTTCACTTCTGTGCCCTTGAATACTCAGGAGACCACGTGGGAGTCCAACCTTTGGATCAATGAGGTGTCATAAAGCTCACTCTGCTGCTGCTCACTTTACATGTGCCGTTCAACGTGTAGTCTTTTGTTTTTGCTGAGTTTAGCTGCGACTGAACATGGCCAAGTCCATGACTCTTCTGTGGGGAGCCGGATCTCCTCCCTGCTGGAGGGTGATGATCGCTCTGGAGGAGAAGAAGCTGCAGGGCTACAAACGCAAGCTGCTGTCCTTCGAGAATGGAGAGCACAAAACCCAGGAAGTGCTGGAAATCAACCCGAGAGGACAGGTAGGCGTGGCATGCACATGATGATAAGAAGTAAACCAATTAAACTTTTATTATCAGAATGGTTTGAAGTTCATTTTCTCGTCTAGATAGTTGGTAAAATAAATTTCAGATTGCCAATATTATACTTATTACCTCCTCCAATAAGCTGGTTATGTTTTCATCTGCGTTAGTCAGTTAGTTTAATTGTTAGAATAAGTGTTTTCCATTACATTATTTTGATGTGTTGGGTATGACTCAAGGAAGAACCCATTACATTTTGGGTCAGATCTTGATCAATGTAGCAGATCCAGGAGTTCTTTTACTTAGCGAGACAGGACCTTTTTCATTTGAACATTCTGTGTCTGGCAAAGAAACATTATAAAATGTATCATCATTACATTATATTTATATTTCTGACCATGCTTAATATGCAGTCCAAAGCAAATCACTCTGCATGATGACTGATCTTAAACCTTATTTGATTCTGCCAGCTCCCCACCTTCAAACACGGAGACAACATACTCAATGAGTCCAGTGCCGTGTGTTTATACCTGGAGGTAAGGTTTAACAACTAAACATGGAATGTTTAATACTGTACATGTTATTGTTCATCTTTATTTTTAGTTTTCAAAAATCTCTGCTGTTATAGAATCAGTTTAAGTCTCAGGGCAACAAGCTGATCCCTGATAGTCCTGCAGAACAAGCTCTGATGTACCAACGCATGATGGAGGGTCTCACCCTCACTGAGAAACTCAGTAAGATACGCACTCAGACACACACACTCGCACCAACACTCTGAAAGTTAGAAAAGTACACACTCTACACATTGCTCTGTCTTAGACTCAGTCATCTACTACGAGTGGATTGTCCCTGTTGAAGAGCGACATGATTCGGCTGTGACGAGACACAGGGAGGTGCTGACAGCTGAACTCAAACTCTGGGAGGGTTACCTGCAGACGGTAGTGTACACACAGCACATTCACACACATGGACACATACACTTGTGCTGACAGCAGTGCCCTCTGCATCAAGGTGGCTGCGGGCTCATACCTGGCCGGGGCCTTCTCGCTGGCTGATGTGATCGCCTTTCCAAATATTGCTTATGCTTTCCGTTTCGGGTACGTGACTGAGTTCATTTCTCTCTGGAAGAGTTAATGAGCCATGTCGGCCTTTTTCATTTTCTCAGTAACCTTGTGTTCTGTCTTTCAGGCTGTCTGTTGGACGTTACCCCAAACTGGCCAAATATTACAGCCTGCTGAAGGACAGACCCAGCATTAAAACCAGCTGGCCCCCTCACTGGGTGGCCAGCCCGCAGGGTTATGACACCCTGAAGAACCTGTGAAGCACTCAACACAAAGTCTTCATCATTTTTTGGAATGTTTGTTCAACATTAAAATAAAGTAAAGAAGTTGTGCTTTCATTTTTTCATGCCCCTGCATCTGTGATGGCCATGGCCGGAGGAATTATGTTTTCAGGTTGTGTGGTCTATTCTTGTAAACACATTTTCTCAAAAACACCTCAAAGGAATATTCCACAAACATTTACTTGGATTCACGGATTAAGTAATAAGAATTTGTTGGTCTAGGGTCAAAGGTCAAGCTCACGTTGACCTCACAAACTCTTTTTTGCTTCGTGAATGCAAAAACAACATATGCCACCTCAGGTAAATACTTTAAAATTTGGTAAAAATGTTCATTCAGACTCCCGAATAACTAATTAGGTTTGAGCGGTCAGAGGTCAAAGGTCGAAGGTTGTGGCAGCTTCACAAAACATGATAAACAAGATGTCTCAAGTCCGTCTTTGGGGAATTTCTTCAGTTCAATGACCAGTTGTCACTTGCACTCAGATATAACTGATTAGATTTCAGAGGTTAAAGGTCACGGTTAACTTATATGAGACTTGAAAAAGTTATTCAACCAATTTTACACAGTAATTCAAGTTTAAGTTGTAGTTTCTTCTTCTGGACAGTAGGCGGCAGTGTGCGCTTTAACCACCGTTTGGATTCACATGAACCGAGCGACGAACAACAGAGAATCCCTTCTTCTTCTAGTGCGTTAATCTCTGTTCGTCTCCAGCAGCAGTGAAGACAGAGACCATCTAGGCTCCACATCTACAAACCATGGCCCAGGACCTGACTCTGTTATGGGGCTCCGGCTCTCCTCCCTGCTGGAGGGTGATGATCGCCCTGGAGGAGAAGAACCTGCAGGGCTACAACCACAAACTGCTCTCCTTCGAGAAAATGGAGCACAAGTCCCAACAGGTGTTGGACATAAACCCCCGGGGTCAGGTAGGAGATAACACACAGCCACCAGCTGGTAGTGGACTCGTTTCAAATACACATCACTAACTTTCCTGTGCGTAAAAAGAGCAACAACAAAAAAAAAGCCAAACTCTGCTGTGATCACTTAACTGTGTTTCTCCCTCAGCTCCCCTCTTTCAAACATGGAGACAACGTTGTGAATGATTCCTACGCAGCCTGTTTCTACCTGGAGGTGAGGGAACCAGTCCATACCCTGGAAAACATCACGACAAACTATTTTACCGGTTACTTTCATTCAATTGAACAATGTCAAGTGTGTGTTTGTGTTTTCTCTCCCAATGACAGAGTCAGTTCAAGTCCCAGGGAACCCAGCTGATCCCGGACAGCCCCGCAGAACAAGCTCTGATGTACCAACGCATGTTCGAGGGTCTGACGTTCTACGAAAAACTTAGTAAGACCAAACTCATTAACTCAACAAGTCAGATCAAACCCTCAACTGTAACACAAACCGAATCTGACTCATCATTACCACACGGTTCACAAGGAAGGACACACACCACAACGATATCTCATTTAAAGGTTTTATTGGTGATTGATGATTGGATGCTGAGGAAAGATGAGTGGATGGAGGTGAAAATGAGTCTGACAGGTTGGTACGGAGACTTCATTCAACCTGAGCTGATAACACGCCCCCCAAGCCAGTACCTATGATTAACTGGAGAGGTGTGAGGATATGTGTGGATGAGAAGAAGGAGGATAGAGAGGTCGATGGATGAGGGTAAGGAAAGGATGGGTCACAAAATCTGAGACGAACAGAGCATGAAGTGTTAATCGGGTCGTGTTGACAGGTGATCTCGGAGCCCATCGGCTAACGACGATTGAGCCTGACAATAGACAGTGGATATCCGGGCCAAGACACTGTCTTCCATTCATCGTGCGCTGTTTACAGTCAGACTAGTTTCTTTTTTTTTCCACCGGGTCAAATGTTTCTCCACATAAAACACAAACAGGGATATCTTTTGTAGTTGTTTGAGGTCCAGGCAACGTTTGGCTTATCTCTAGTGTTAATCTATATATATATATACAAATACATTAAAAAGCTGATGTGTTGATGTGTTCTGCCTCTTTTGCTCTCTTCATTTTTTTTTTTTTTGCCTGCTCAAACATGATTAGAATTAGAAATCAAAATTTTCTCTAAAATCCCTTCCCTACAGATTCTTCATATTCACATTTAGAATCTGTTTATAGAGATACCTGACAGGTGATTAGAGAAGTGGCCTTACCCCTGAACATTAGTTGACTTCATATAAGGAGTTTAAAGATTGTGGTTGCTGCTGTTGCAGCCATAATAACATCATAAATATGTATCCTATTTATTTTAAGCAGCAATGGTTCAGTAACAAATGGATGTATGAATAAATCCAACAATTATTAAAGTCTGCTTGTGTCAGGGGTTGAATTTACTTAAAAACATGATTCACTTGTATCTTTCAGCTTATTTTTCTTTGCAAAGAGCAAAACTGTTAAAAACACACAAGGAACCTCACTGTTGCACTGTGTGACTTTATTATGACGGCCATGGGCACTCCAGTTTATTGTTAGTATAATCCACATGACTGTCCTACTGCTGTAAATACTGAGGACCAAATATTTAGTCCTATTTGAGAAATATGCAAAAAACTACAGTGCCCATAAGGGAATTAGTGAGACAAAATAATCCTACCCATGATTCTCTAGTTCTTATTGTAGAAATATAAAAGAACATTTATTTAAAAGCATAAACATTTTACTCTCAACTACATGTATCCCCTCAATCCAAAATTTTAATGTGTTCTCTCAGGTCCCCTCCCTTCACCAATGTGGTGAAAATTGGTTTTGTATTTTTTGCCTAATCATGCAATCAAATAAACCAGCAAACAAGTAAAATCATAAAACAATGAAAAATAACTTCAGCCTCATGACAACAAATGATATTTAAAAATACTGGGATTTTATCAAGGTTTGGCACTGTGGATATAATCTTGTCAAACACCCACTGAAGGAACCATTTGCTCATCCTGTTAATGTGTTTTTCATTTATTCATTTATTTGTTTTAGATGCAGTTATCTACTATGACTGGTTTGTCCCTGAGGACGAGCGGCATGACTCAGCTCTCAAGAGAAACAGGGAGGCTCTGGCAACCGAACTCAAACTCTGGGAAGGCTACCTGCAGAAGGTAGTGTTCAGCACAAATGTTCTGCACAAACACACACACTTACACACACAGTCTCTCACCCAACACACACATACACACCCTCTCCCACACACAGACTCACACACACACTCACACACACACAAAGTTTGCACACATTAACATGTTCATGTGTTTGTTTGTAGTCGGGCACGTACCTGGCAGGACCGTCCCTCTCACTGGCTGACGTGACTGTTTTTCCAACTGTTGCCACACTTTTCAGATTCGGGTGAGTGTGAGTAGTAGAGGCCTGTTGCATTGTCCTGAAGTCACACTGACCTGTGAACCACTTAATGTCCACCTACCTTCTGTTTTCCAGGTTATCTGCGGAGAGTTACCCTCAGCTCGGACAGTATTACACTCTGCTGAAGGAGAGACCCAGCGTTAAAGCCAGCTGGCCCCCTCATTGGCTGGAGAACCCCACGGGCCAAGAAACACTCAAAGACATCTGATGTTTACTTGCTATTTAAAGCTACATCTGCATTGTAGAGTTGCAGTTTGGTTTTCTCCTTCAGCCTTTCGCATTTGTTTAATATAGATGAAACTAACAGTTTGTTATGGAAAAAAATACAGTATAGTGAGATGATTTTCTAAATATACCAGTGTAACAGTGGCAGAAATGTGTTATTGGAAAAGTATCGGAAGAATAAATAAATAGAATGTTATAAAAATATTCAGATGCAAAAATTTAAAGATGTAAAACTGAACAAACGTATGAGAAATATGAGACATGTTAAACACATGTAAGGTAAAATAAGGTACTCATTGGACAAAGCGTGCAAATGAACAATAAATAATCTGCAGCAACATATGAAAAGAGTTTTTACTGCATTTTAATTCTGTACCTGTATGTCTCATCCACTAACATGGAGGGGTAACATTTGGGGATCAGGCATCGTCATCGTTATATAAAATCTATGGTTTTAGCCTTTGTGTTGAAAGTGACTCACCTCCATCAGAGAACGTGTCTGATCTCAAAACATTTTCTCTATATTGCATTGTAATCTAGTGTATCTGATCTACAGTTGAATAGAAAATTGCTGATACAAATATTCAGCTCATTGTGCGACACCATCGATGAGATGAAGGTAGAAAAGGTAGTCGAACTCCATTCGTTTTATAATGTGACAGGCAGTGCCTGAACTGGTTTTCTGGTTCAAAGTAGCCTAAATCAGCATGCATGTGATAACTTGCAAACAAACACAACAACAACAAAAATAAGGACGGGTGAAAACAAAAGCCTCTTGGCGGAGCTGCAAATGAGGCCACGACAACATTGTACACATGAACAAGTGAGTACACCATAAATATGCTTTGTCAAGAAAAAATGACTGTGTCATGCTTGTCAAGAGGAATGACATAATGAAGATTGAAGATCTAACGAAGATATTTTCTTTTAAATGTGAGACGGAATGTCGCCTGTTCACTCCTTCAAAAACAAGCTGACTGATCTGACTGGATAGAATGTTAAGTAATACTCAATGTTAACAGAAAAATGAATACTGGTCAACAGCAAATTCATATTTTTGATGTACCTCTAAACAGCAGGTTGTTTCTGAATGCTCCTGCAGATGAGAAACAGCAAAGTGCTAAGGACAGCTGTGTTTTTCTGTGACAGGATTGTGGTTCATTTCCTCTCACAGTTTATTATTGTTGACTGTAGCGACCAATCAAGCACACAACGTCTCTCCTGACTGCAAGTTGTGTGTTAACAATGTGAACACGAGCTGCTCACATCTTCATTATTCATGCAATGTCAGGATGAATTAGCTCCAGGTGGTGTCTATTACATCCAGTGCATAACTGATTGTTTGCATGACTGATCCCAGAACTGGTTTTGTGTGTGTGTGTGTGTGTGTGCAGGGGTGACTGGAGAGTGCTGAGTCACTGTGAGTGTCCAACTCAAAGAGTCAAATCACAGAAGAAATTTGTTTTAAATAAAACCAATATACACTAGTGTAGTTTAAATGGTGCAGATATTGATAACTGCAGCCATCTGATCCCTATGCATACATTTAAAATCCCTTTTTAATGCATAGTTATACCTGTAACATTGTAATTTCAGTGTTAAAGTATCATTCATACATGTGTTTATGTTTTGATTAATTTAATATGTATTCAAATAACTTCCTATCGGTGCAGAAACTGGTCCAATTCATGTTTCTTTGTTTATTCCACGTTATGAGTCTCAGCTCAAAGAGTATGAATACAGAGCAAGAGAAGTCCTCCCTCCACACATTTGGCTTTGCTAATGCCTGTCCATACAAGCAGGAGACATTTTAGTCATGCTTGAATTTATTTTATTCTTTTATGACTCTGTTTTTATTGTTGTTGAATGTTTTGCACTTTGTAACTTTGTTTTGAGAAGCAGAAGACCAGTACATAGAGATATTATTATTGTTCATCCACATAGAGATAATTTATAAATGCAACCATCTGGTGTGATATGCAGTGTGCAGTTAATACAAATAAGTGTGTTTGAATATGACATCATGATGCCCTGAGTTACTAAAGGCATGCAGGAAAGGGTTACCATACTTGGAGAGGGTGTGAACTGTCTTGAGGCAAGATCTTTGGTGATAACATAAAAATGGGAGTGGGCTTAGCTCCACCAATCCGGATGTGAAGGAGAGTGTGTTGTTATAAAACCAGGACTCTGTCACACTCCAAGCTCACACTTCAGCTCCTCCTCGCCTCCAGTGTCTTACAGGTGCTGCACCTCTGAAACCATGGCCCAGGACATGACTCTGCTGTGGGGCTCCGGCTCTCCTCCCTGCTGGAGGGTCATGATCACCCTGGAGGAGAAGAATCTGCAGGGCTACAACAGCAAAATGCTCACCTTCGAGAAAATGGAGCACAAGTCCCAAGCTGTCATGAACATCAACCCCAGGGGTCAGGTAAGTGTATCCGTAACATCGATCATTTTCCTGGAATCCACTGATATGTATAATTTTTTTGCAAAGCATAACAATGCATCATCTCCACTCTTGTGTCTTAAAGCTTCCTTCCTTCAAACATGGGAGCAACGTTGTGAATGAGTCTTGCGGTGCCTGCTTATACCTGGAGGTGAGAACTTGTTCCTGAACTAGTTGCACAAGGTCTATAGTTTCACTGTAGTGAAACCATATCTCTCCATGGGGATAATGGGTAGCTGTGTTCCATGTGCTCTCTGCAGAAAATCAGAAACCTTACACTGCACAGGAAAAGAAACTGGAGCTCCACACAGCTGTTTACAGTCTTTTTCATTTCTCCATAACAACAGAGCCAGTTCAAGTCCCAGGGAACCAAGCTGATCCCCGACTGCCCCGCTGAGCAGGCATTGATGTACCAGCGCATGTTTGAGAGTCTCACGCTCGGCCAGAAAATGGGTACGTTAAACCCTGAAAGTGTTTGACCACTGTTTTAGCAAGACAACATACAACCTGTTCTTCCTGGAAATGCATCAGGTGTTGTTCATTCCAGGTCTTCCAGCAATAAGTCCATGATCTAAATTGTTGTTGTAATTGGTTGGGCTGTCTCTTTGACCTGCACTTGGCAACATCATGCAACAAACTGCAACCTCTTAAACCCCAGAGACTCGATGTCTTCAGGAGCTGAACATCGACCAGCCCGCTCCCAACCCGAGGGACCTGAGCTGTTGAAAAACACATGCTGTGGCGTGCACTAATGAGCATCGCATTCACAAACTAGTTCTGTGTCGATTGTATCCTATGAATCAGGTAGCGATGTTGGGAGGTCACATGTTAATCCCACAAAGGCTCACATGCTCAGAGCAGCTTGCAGCTGAAGTCATGGGACAGGGTGGCACAAAAAAAAAAGAGATGGCTGCTCTGTGAATTGCAGTTAGGAAGTTGTGCAATAAGTTAACTTCTCCTGAGTCGGCTGCTTCAAACTTAATTTGAGCAGTTACATAACCTCCCTACTGACTCCACCCTCTGCTGCTGAAAGGAAATGAAAACAATAAATCTCAGGAAACAGTAGGAGTCCATGATGGGCAGCGTCTGGATAGATTTTTATCCATTTGTATCTTTGCCGACATACTCAGCTGCCACGACTGAATGCCTGTTTGACTTTTCTTTTCATTTTTCTTTCAGGGGATGTTATCTACTACAACTGGAAGTTCCCAGAGGGAGAGAGACACGACTCCGCTGTGAAGAGAAACAAAGAGAATCTGATCACTGAGCTGAAGCTGTGGGAGGGATATCTGCAGAAGGTAAACCCAGCCATAAAATGTAACATCAGATGTAGACAGCGAGAGAGATAGAGTGAGAGAGCTGCATGGGTAGACTATTAACTGAACAACCAGAAATGAATGAGACCATCTTTTAGGAAAATGTATAAGCTGTGTGTCTCAGCCACTTACATGGAGGAGGTGGGGGGTCTATGACCCAGTCAACCACCAGGGGGCGATCAAGATGCTTTGGCTTTAAGTTTGGGAAGCTGTCATGTCGTCCTTCTTTATACACAGTCTCCATGACACAAAAATGAACCTTTATCTTTTCAAGATGGTGACACAACCTGTTTAGTTTGAGACACATTTTAAAGTTCAAGTCCAGTTCAATACATTGTTTGGGAGCTTGTTCACCTTTTTAGTCGAGAGTTAGCGGATCTATGCAGCTTGCACACCTATTAAATATTAGGCTGGGGCCATGTGTGGGGACTTAACTGTAACCGGAATGTCACATTTCTGCATTTCACCTTTTATTGAGCAGCTGTGTGTCAGGACATGGACAAATGTTCATACCTCTTCACTGTAACCTTCAACTGGACATTACTGTCACCTTGTGGTCTGTATTAGTCACTACAAACAATTGTTTAAACTAATACAACAAATATATTATTTCACAATTTAGATATAACTCTTTTTTAATTGTTTGTTTTAACTATACAAAGAACAACAGATACAAAATGATTATCTTAACTTTGCACCTAAAGTGGAAATTGGGCAAAAAAATTGACTTAATTGAGTTTTAAATTTGGTTCAAGATCTGAAGTGTGAAAATGACTAGTTGTTGTTTTACTTTGCGTCTCGTGACACTTTTACTAGCAAGTGTTTGCACCCAGCCAAGACATAGTCCAATACATAACCAAGTAAAACTGCAACTTGTTTTTCAAGTTTCGATCTTTGTTTTCCAGGCGTCCGGCTCGTTCGTGGCGGGAAAGGACTTCTCACTGGCTGATATCATTTTTTTCCCTGGTGTCGCTTATCTCTTCCATTTTGGGTAAGTGGACAAAACTGACAATGAAAATGGTGTTGAGCTGCATGACAAACGATGATGAAAGGATAAATTTAAAAAAGCAATGCATACGAAATGACCGCTCTCCATTGTCCAGGTTGTGTGAGGAGCGTTACCCCAAACTGGCGGCGTACTACAACTGTCTGAAGGTGAGACCCAGCATCAAAGCCAGCTGGCCCCCCACCTGGCTGGAGAATCCAAAGGCACAAGACATGCTGAAAGACTTCTGAGAATTAAAACCTGCACTGACGGCTCTCGTTGTGTAATATGTGACCATCCCTTGAATTGCACTAATGTATCTGACAGGAACTTCTGCTCATTTTCTATTATCATTTGTCTTTGATGTAAAAGACTCATATTTCGTCATGTAACGAAAAAGCAATAAAAACTTACTTTCAGTTTTGACTCTTTATTCATATCAGTTTACACTGAGCTTTCTTCGAATCCACCTTTGACAGGATAATGATTCTCAGAGGTCTGTGTTCAGAGGAGCGATCAAGTTCAAATTGAACTACATATTTATCAAGGAACAAAGTGCAGCCAAACACGTAACATATATAATGTATCAACATAAATGAAAAACAAGACTATGAAGGTGGCCGTTCTAGTAGACTTCACATCAGTGGATGTTCCCATAAACGTATTCATTTTATTTTTATTTCATGTTTCAGGCACAGGCCTTGTGGTTTTAGTCACTTCTGCCCAGCACCTCGTGTTGTCAAGTTTGATTGTGCATGCTTTTATAAACTATCTGCACAAATTAAAGAATAGCTATGATTGACAGAATATATAGTGAATACTAAACATAGTGCGGTATATGAATTAAATATATAAATGATGCAATGGTATTAAACTATAACTAAGTTTCTACACCTAAGTATATTTGACCAAAGGCATTAAATCTGGTCTCAAATGGCAAGTTTGCAATTCATGTGTTAAACTCTTCACAGTCATCCCTCCACTTTTAGGCTTTTGACAGCAGAGGTCAGTAAAGTGCTGTTTATATTGTCCTCTGCTTTGGTTCGACCTCATTTTGGTTTTCAGACCTTGTTTTTGTGGCATTCCAGCAAACACAGTGTCTAAATACAATTAAAGAAAGATCTTGTCATACCTACACTACAAAGAAACATTGTCAAATCACAGTCTGGGTCAGAGCCCTTGTGATCTTCTGCTTCATCTCACTGAAACACTCAGTCTTTTACTTCGGACTCGACGCAAAATAAACCTTTACCCCTTCACATGACTCTTCCTTCGAGCAGTCAATCTGGACTCTGAGAGAGGCCATAGTTTATTTCCACCACACAGGACCATACTGTGTTATCTAAAGTTTTGCATGGGATTAACTTTAAACCTGATTTTAAACAGATTGTTGAAGTACCTTTAAACCAAATTTAAATTTAAACCCATGTATGGAGAGCATGTGGTTAATCATGTGTTCCCTGTAAAGAGGACATTACAATAATATTGGTAATGATTTGTGGATGTTAAGGGGGCTGTATCGAAATGTTAACCAACCACTGCATGTGTCAACACTTAGTTGTACAAATAGATTGGAAATATAAATGTTGCAACAGCCCTTTGGCCTGTGTGCAGTTGCAGAGCCGCCTTCTTTACCGCAGTTCTTATTTTCCTCTGTGGTGAAAACAAGAAGATGGGGTCCTGTTTGATTTTATTGGGTCTGCTCTCTATCTGCAGCTTCTGCTTCAGTCAAGGTAATACATATCACTACTTGACAAGAGTGTGGCCTTTTTTTTTTTACCACATATATGTAGTCAAATGTATTTATTCTGCATCTATGTGTACATTTAATTGTGTTTTTTCTTCCCATTTCTTCAGAGTGTGGTCAAGAGTTATTCGTGAATGTGGATTTCCCGGGAACAGATATAACATTCCTCTACTCTCCGGATGTGAAGCACTGTCAGCAGCTGTGCACCGAGCACCCCTCCTGTCTCTTCTTCACCTTTATTCGACAAGACTGGACCAGAGATAACAGGTATCTAACACTGACGCATACCTCCTGATGCAATCCATTGAAGCACTGTAACATTTTTAAGTTGATAGAGCAAAGCAGGGGGTGCAGCCAGGGGGGGCACTGACCCCAGCTAAAATCTGATCGACCACAGCTTTCTTCAAAGAAGTGTATTTGAACACATCATATATTCAATGCTATGTGGCTTTGCTCAAAGCTGCAGAGATAACAGTATACAGGGAATGACTTAAATGTGCACCTTCAGGAATTGTGCATGGATGTTGGAGATTGGCCCCTCTGTGTAAATTGTGATCCCTTTATTTTGAACATCCTACATCTGCCATTGAGCCAAATCGTGACCTATATACACTGTTTCTTCATATTTTTGTTACCAGGCCACACACCATAACATGTCACACTCTTAAAAAAACTAAATGAATAAATTGCTTCTCCTCAAGTCTGTGCTGGATTTCTCTGGGTACTCTGACTTCCTCCCACAGTCCCATAACATGCAGATTGGGGTTAGATTAAATTGTCCATGGGTGTGACTGTGATGCTGGGATCAGCTCCAGCTAATCCCATCTTACCCCTCAGTGGTATAGATAATGGATGGATGCATGCTTCTCTCTGCAGGAACTTCTACTGCTACCTCAAGGTCCCTCCCTCTTTAAAGCCCAAGGCCCCACTACAGGGTGTCACTTCAGGCTTTTCTCTCAAAAAGTGCCCCTCAGAGCTACGTAAGCTCACAAACATTTTACATCATTCGAAAAAACTGCATATTTATTTTGTGATGTATGGTCACGCTCTCTTTAACTCTCTCTGTCTACTCACCTGGGCAGAACAATGTCAGTCTCAGCTGTACCAGAACGTGGACTTCCTGGGGGCAGACTACAGATCATTGTTCACATCCAGTGATGAAGAGTGTCAGAGGGTCTGCACGCAGGACCCCGACTGTCGGTTCTTTACTTTTGTAAATGGCATCTTCACACCAGAGAACATAAGGTATAAGTGGGTAACATAATGTTTCACTCAATTTAAACTTTCCTCCTTTGAACACGTGGCTGCTCTGGAGGCAGAGTTTGTCATTGGTTGAGATAGACCTCAGTGGATGGATGTAAAGGGTTGACACTAACCTTTTTTTGGCATGTGTGAGAGAGGGTTATGTTATGCAACAAAGATCCACCACTGTTATACAGAATGGTACCCACCCAGCATTGAATCATTTAAAGGGGCAGTCCAACAATTAATCCTTTCTTTTGTATGAGATTTGGTGACTCAAGAGAGAAAGTGAAAAGGAGTCAAAATCAAAAAATATAATATGAAACAATTTTTCATTAATGTGTCTAAAAGTGAAAAAAAAGATTTTGACTTGTGAACTCACATTATCCATAATGTTTAAACAATGTTCAAACAAAGATAAATCCCACATTTTATTCAAGGTAACAGGAGGGTTTGTTTGGTTGCCTTGTAATTGCATCATATCCTCTTTACCCCTCTGTGCTATCAAACAAATGAGGTTTGACGAAGGAAAGACCTTTCTCATTCTGTCTTGGTCACTCGTAATGTTCACATGTATTCTTTGCTGTTTGGTGCTTGACGTGAATAACAATTCATCACATCGCCTCATCCATGATTTTGCGTCTGAGTCCCATCAGGAAGATTTCCCATCATTCAACCCAAATAACATTGCTTGTTTGCATCGTTCAAATTCCAAACCCTCCCTTTATAATGCAAGTTCTCTGTGTCAAAGTTCTCGCCCAGCAAAAGCACAAGCTGAGATAACCTCAGTGAGCCACAGACATTTTGCAACCTCGCAGTGAATTCATCCAATGAGAAGGGAGGTGGATCTCTGGCATCAGGAGGGTGGCGTGACGTCGCAGGTTCTAACATTAAATGATGCTGTTGTTTCTTTGTTCTTTCCCAGATACAAATGTCACCTTAAACACAGCTGGTCAGTACCGAGGACTCCTGTAATAAAAAGAGAGGCTGGCGCAGTATCTGGATTCTCCCACAATCTGCAAATAACTCAATACTTTCAACCAGGTATGCACAAGTGGAAGCACAACATCCTGCGGGAAGTCATTGACATGATTTCTTGTTCTACTACCTGTGTGTTTTACAGTTTGCCAGGGAAAGCTTCTTTTAAACACTGACGTCCAGGGAGACAACATTGAAAAGCTGCCCGCCGCCTCTGCTGAACACTGTCAGGCTCTGTGCACTGATAATCCACGCTGTACATATTTCTCTTATACCAGGTACTGTGAAACAAGCACTTCAATTAACTTCTCATGCGGCAATGTATATATACTGTATATATCACCATATGTGTTGTTACTGGAACAGTATCTTGACGTTCCTTTAGGGGGTTAAACCTTCGGTTCTCCAACTTCAGCTAAATATGTTGATCTGCTTGGTTTAAACTCAGACATATTTCTATTGATTATTTTTGCAGCGATAACTTCCAATGTAACTTGAAGGGAAATCCATCTGAAATGGTGACCAGAGCCAAAGTGGGAGTCACATCTGGGATACCGGTGCACCTCTGCTGGATGAATGACAGTATGTATCACAAACCAACACTGAGACTGGACACACTGTTTGTGGATCTTCACAAACCACAAACACTGAACTGTTTTACACACTGTTTATACAGACATGTATCATACACCCATTGTGAATCCAACAAATATCAATGATGAACCGAGTTTTGCAACATGTGCAGAAAGGTGACACTTCGATCTGGTTATAATGTAAACTTGTTAGAATAGTATGTTTGTGCTTTGGCCAGCAGGGGCAGTGTGACCCTGTCCCTCTCTGCTGACAGGTTGGCTTCAAGTGTCTCATGAAGGAGTCAATTTCCAAGGTTCTGACATTCGCTTTGAGTCGACGGAATTTCCAGACATATGTCAGAGGACCTGTTCTATAGATCGTCTTTGCCAGTTCTACACCTACTTCAATGAATCCTACTCCAACCCTGATTTAAGGTACAGTGTCCTTTATGCATGCATGCAAACCTGCAGAATCACAGATACTGTCAGCATAAACATAAACCAGGAATGAGGGATGTGTGTGAGGATGAGTGAGGATGAGCAGAGGTAAGGATGGATGAAGGGAAGACAAGCGTGATGGGTTGATCAGGTATATTTAGTCTTGGTGATAGGTGATAGGAGGTGTGGTTGAGGCGTGGCACTGCACACTACATGGTGTTTGATCAAAGATCCTGTTTGTTGATTTTATTCCAGGGGGCGCTGTTATCTCAAGCGTGTCATCACAGCACCTTCTCCTACAACAGTTAAGAAATTGAATAATGTCGTGTCTGGATTCTCCCTGAGGAGCTGTGCATAGACAGACAGACAGACACACACACACACACACACACACA